CGGACTCAGGAGGCCTGGGTTCGAATCCCTGCTCAGCCACGGAAACTGATGGAGGGGGTGCAGAACTGGTAAAACCACTCCTCACATATCTCACTTACTATGAAATATCTATAAGGGTCGCTGTAAGTCAATTCCAACTTGACTGTACAGTACTTAACAGCAATGACAATAGGTGATGGCCAAGTTGGCTGGATGTTCTGAAAGTTGCTCCCTGAAATAAAGAATTTTCCCCAGCTCCAGTCCAGAATAATGCCCAGTTCACAAGCCACATCAAACCACCAATACCAGCTTCATAAACTAAACCCTTCTCCCTTCAAAAACACTTGGGTTAGGAATGCTGGACCCTTGTGTAGTTCAAAATCCGTGTATAGCTCTTATACCCCCAAAAACCTAATTACAAAGCATAAACAGTTGATTCAGACACACAAACAAATATGCTTAAGGGCAGAAGAAGCCTCTACCACAGGGAGGAAAACAGAAGCATGATCTCTCCTCCACCCCATAATAAAGGGGCGTACATCAGACTGCAGGCAAGACCTATCCCTTCCCTGGACGCCACGTGGAGTCGCCATGCCAGGAGAGCAGGCTGGCTAGGTACCATGTTTCCCCGAAAATAAGACAGAGTCTTGTATTAATTTTTGCTTCAAAAATGCATTACGGCTTATTTTCAGGGCATGTTTTTTTTTCATTTATAACCATCTACATTTATTCAAAGACAGTCATGTCATCTTCTTCTGGTTGCTGCACTGTGGTGGAGGGTGGGGTTTCACTTAATGAGGGCTTATTTTTGGGGTAGGGCTTTTATGACGATCATCCTAAAAAATCATACTAGGGCTTATTTTCAGGTTACTGTAGATCTTATTTTCAGGGAAACAGGGAAGATTACATCTAAAACCCACTTCCTGGAGATAAAGAGCAGCACAATCTTGCTTGCTGGCTTGCGTGCATGCGTGCGTGCATGCATGCATGCGTGTGTGCATGTGGAAGCAATCTGTATATAAATATACCGTATTTTCGCACCATAAGATGCACTTTTTTCCCCCAAAACAGGGGGGGTGGAAAGTCTGTGAGTCTTATGGAGCGAAGAAAACATTTTATGTTTTCTTCTAAAAATTGTTGCGTCTTATGGAAAGGTGCGTCTTATGGAGCGAAAAATACGGTAAGCAAAACCATGCTGCTCAAACCTCTGCAATTCAAGGAGTATACAGCATACAGCAACAGGTAGTACACAAACTGCCCCCACAGACACATTCCATCCTTTCTTTGCGATCAGGATGGCCCCTTCCCCTTTTATCCTTCTTAAAAAAGCTAAAAAACCTTCTCTTCAGGCAGATTTTTAACAATTATAAATGAATCCCTAAACCCCATTTTAGCAGATAATTATAATCTTTTCCATGTATTCATGTTTTAATCTTTTAATCTTATTTTAATCTATATATTGTTTAATTTGTCTTTTAATATCTATCTTATTGTGTTTTTAATTGGGTGAATTTTAATGTTGTGAGCCTCTTTGGGTCCCTTGTTGGCAGAAATGTGGCATATAAATAAAACTAATAATAATAAAACTAATACTAATACTACTAATCATCATCATCACTTTCTCTTATTTGCAAACTCAGGATTTCACCAGTTAGGATTTGTGAGCAAGCTGGTGGAAGTTGGCCAGAAAATACAACTCAGAGGAAAATTTAGGAAAATTAAGACTTTGATTTTATAGCCATCGTGCAGGAATATATATACCAGTGATGATGAACCTTTTTGAGCCTGAGTGTCCAAACTGCAACACAAAATCAACTTATTTATTTCGACGTCCCAGTTGTGCAATTAAAAACCAAATGCTGAGGTTTTAGTAGAAAAAACAACTGCTCCTGCACTGCAAGGGTTAAATGCTTGTGTTTTTTTCCCCATGGGCAATATTAACAAAGAAATACTTACTGGTCCTCCAATTCCCCATTGGGCTACACTGGAAATGGTTGCCATTGCACCCCTCTGCTGCACCACTGCACCAGCAGAAGGGAGTGCCAAAATCTGGGATCGGAGGATTGGCAAGTAATTCTCTACGGCGACTTATGGCTCATGTGTCCACAGAGAGGGCTCTGTGTGACAGCTGTGGCACACGTGTCATAGGTTCGCCATCACTGATATACTGTATACACACACATATTCTTTATTCAAGGTTGGTCTGCCAAGGGGGCTCTGACTCTGTTATAAATATAGCATATTATCAAGAAGATGTGGTTCATTACTCTCAGGCCTCAGAAAAGAGTAGTTATAAAAACCACTTAGGGCTACCAACACTGTTAACAACTGTTTTCTGGATATGGTTCATTTTGCCAACCAAAATACAGTGGTGCCTCGCTTAGCGACGTTAATCCGTGCAACAAAAAGCGCTGCAAAGCGATTTCGTCGCTAAGCGATTTTTAAAAGCCCATAGAAACGCATTGAAACCCCTTCAATGCATTCCTATGGGCTCCAAAACTAACCTTATGCGAAAATCCTCCATTGCGGCAGCCATTTTCGGTGCCTCTAAAGCGAGGCAACACAGCGGGTGGCAATTTGGTTTACCCGGCGGCCATTTTGGAACCGCCGATCATTGCAAAGCCCCCGCCGATCAGCTGGCCGAAAATGGGAGGTTTGCGATGATCACTTCCCTGCGATCATTGCAAAGCGAATTTTCCCCATAGGGGCTATTGCAAAGCGATCGCTTTTGCAATCACAAAAACAGCATCGCAAAGCGATTTCTTCGCTATGCAGAGCGGTCGCTATGCAAGGCACCACTGTATAGGGTTGATTATTCTAGTGCTTGAGAAACGGACAATCTGAATTACAATCATCCACACACACATCCATTGAAATCAATACCATGGGACTAGGGATTCTGGGAGTTGTAAACCTAAAAACACAGCTCTGCTCCTCTCTTCACTCCATTGGGGGAATCCCAGTCAACCATTTAAGAGAACAAATTGGGCAGAAGAGAGTTCCATAACTGTGGCGCTACCACCTAGACGGCCCAATTTCTAGTGGTTTTCCAGGCCTCTCTCGGAGTCAGAACTCACCGCCACCCTGCTTGCGATAATTTTACAGGACAGGCAGACCTAACTGAGGCGCTTGGCCAGATATCGAGGTCCCAAACCGTTGAGGGCTTTATAGATTAGCACCATCACCTTTAAACTGGTACAGAAGCAAACAGGTAGCCAGTGTGGGGGAGATATGTTGGTATTTTCTAACCCCACTCAGACATCTGGCCACTGCTTTCTGGACCCATTGCAGTCTCTGTAGCAGTCTCAAGAGCAGCCCCAAGCATTACAGTAGTCTAATCTTGAGACTACCAGCGCATGGACCAGTGTAGTAAGGGACCCAGTGTCAAGGTAGGGACGTAGCTGGGCGATCTACTTTAGGTGGACATAAGTGGATTGGACCACAGATGCCGTCTGAGACGTCATTGATAGCAATGGTTCCAAAAGCACACCCAAGCTACGAACTTCATCCTTCATGGAAAGAGTGGGGCCTCCAAAAGATAGGGAGACATCCAGACCACAGACACCAGGGGCCCCCACCTGTAGGATTTCCGTCTTGCCCAGGCTCAGCCTCAGTCTGTTGTCCCTCATCCATCCCAGCACTGTATCCAGGCAGCGCTCAAGGGACGGGATGGCGTCCACTGCAGAAGGATGGAAGGAGAGATTGAGCTGAGTGCCATCCACATATTGGTGACCCAAAGTTCCAAACTCCTGATGACCTCCCCCAGTGACCTCATATAGATATTGGGGAAACAGAGTGCTATTTTCATGCGAATCTGATGCATTTGATTTTTCTCTAATATTTCTTCTGGGTGCCATCTGCATATTGATGACACGAAGCTTCCAAACTCCTGATGACCTCCCCCAGTGACCTCATATAGATATTAAATAGCATTGTACAAAGGCTAAACTGGGGAAAGAGTGCTATTTTCATGCAACTTCTTCACTCTGACTGAAGTACTTTGTGCCCCTTTGTCATAAGTCACCCTTTCTCCCAACCACCCCCTCGTTAGCACCTTCACTCACCAGCTGGCATGCAATGCTCTGTCCCTTCCAGTCTAGACCCCTTTGTCATAAGTCACCCTTTCTCCCACCACCCCTCGTTAGCACCTTCACTCACCAACTGGCATGCACTGCTCTGCCCCTTCCAGTCTAGATAGGAGCCCAGACTTCCCTTCTCCACCTCCTCCAGCAGCTGTCCACCAAAGGCAGTGCTGCAGGAATCCCTCCTCATTTGAGCGGCCAGCTGCTTGAGGAGGCGGAGAAGGGAAGTCCGGACTCCTGCTGAGAGTGGAGAACTGCATGGCAGGGAGCAACAGCTGCTGGAGGAGGCGGAGAAGGGAAGCTGGACTCCTGCTGAGACAGGAGAACTGCATGGCAGGGAGTGAGAGAGTAGCACACACTGGCTGGTGAGTTGAGGTGCTGGCAAGGTAGCTGAGAGAAAGTAACATAGTCAGCTGTGCTGCCGTGAAGACAAATTATGACAAATGGGTACTAAGTAATTTGTGCCCATCCGTACTCTGAACCCAACCCCAATTTTTCAAAACAAGTGAATGCCTTTCTGTGCTATCAGAAACATTTGCAAAACACCCAAAAAACATACCTGCTCACCGTGAAACAAAGACCAGAGCATGAAAAAAGAAATCATATGGAAAGCATTATTTGCATGACAAGAAAAATCCCTATAGTTCTATTCACTCTTGTATTTGAATCTGATTTATCATTCAAAATGTAATTACCTAGGAGGAGAGGAGAGTGCTTTTTATATTCTGGAATGATTCACACAGTAGCGGGGAGAACACACCACCCTTGTCTCTCTTCTGCAAACTCCATAAACATAGCTAGGAAAAACAGCAAATGCCCCACCAAAGATGAATCACATGGAATTTTTCTTTGGGGCCACATTTACATTCTACAACATGCTGGAAGCTTCATGAAGCGACAGCAAGGAAAACTGTTATTTTTTAAGTGGGAAAAACTCACTGTGGTTTTCCACAAGGTCGAGAGCCACACTGGTAGCAATGTCCATTCCAGTGCTTATGTAGGACTGGCAGTTTTTCAAAGATGAAAGGCATGCATCCACCCCACTGAAGTCAATCACAGGCCGACCAGCCATCGTGATGTTGTTTCCTGAAAAAAAAAATGTTTACAGCTCCAATATTACACAGTTCTATTACTTGCATGTATTTTTTTTCTTTATCCATGCCTGCGGTGAAAATGCTACTCAGTGACTCATGTGCATGCATACAACTTTTCACTGAGTTCAATCTCCCTTATGAAAATATCTATTTCACACTTTCTCAGGCTTGCAACAGGCAATGCTCATCTTGTTGGAAATATCGTCATTGTCAAGGTTTCCTACGAATTCCGACACAGAAAAACAACAACACAGACCTTGAATTATGCCTGAAAAACATGCAAAATAAAGTGTACATTATGCACATTGGGGCTTTAATCTATGAGATAAAGGTAAAGGTTCCCCTTGACAATTTTTGTCCAGTCGTGTCCGACTCTAGGGGGCGGCGCTCATCCCGCTCTTCAAGCCATAGAGCCAGCGTTTGTCCGAAGACAATCTTTCTGTGGTCACATGGCCAGTGTGATTTAGACACGGAACGCTGTTTACCTTCCCACCGAGGTGGTCCCTATTTATCTACTCACATTTGCATGCTTTCGAACCGCTAGGTTGGCGGGAGCTGGGACAAGCGACGGGCGCTCACTCCGTCGCGTGGATTCGATCTTACGACTGCTGGTCTTCTGACCCTGCAGCACAGGCGTCTGCGGTTTAGCCCACAGCGCCACCACGTCCCACTGTGAGATAGATATACCTAAAATAAATATAGTAGGGTAAGTAAACACAAATCATGCATGTCTATGTGGGGCGAAAAAGGATAACAAAATTACAACCAGATAAGAATTCCAGTGGGATTCTGAATGGCACAACAAAAACAAGATTTGAACACTCCTATCAGTAACACAGCTTGGAAAAGTTGCAATTTTCGACTACCATCCCCAGAATGCCCTTAACGTCAGTGCATTATGGAGAGATGTTTTAGTACTCACACACATGCGGTTAACTCTCAGTGCCAGCCAGGTCATTCTATGTGATGAAAGACTGCTCTCCTAAACACATCTCACATTCCACTGTTGCTGAACGTTGTTAGAGGAGACTGGCAGCTGAGTAAGCAGATGATCTTCCCTAAAAATTGTACCCTAACGAATCTTTTATTCTAATAAGTTGTTTTTTTCTCAATTCCTTTAAATTCCGCTTCAAGATTTCTGGAAATTCTTCCAGTTCTGCCACTCAAGCCATGGGACGGCAATGGAATAAATATGCTCTTATACTTGTTCCAAATTAAAAGCATATATTTTTTTTAAAAAGGGATTTTAATTTTTTAAAAAACATACTCTTATTATACTGTCTGAAAAAGATAT